GGACAAATATTTCCGTCACTGTAGTAGTTCCACCACGCTGATGTACTGTATCTTCTTCTACTATGTACAGCCGTTATAACTAAAGCGACTGTACGAGATCCCATTGGAACTGCAGTTGCACAGAAGTCTATGTCAACCTTTTGATAATCTGTTTCTTCAGGATGTTGCCAAGGCCCAAGAGATAACACTCTGTCAGAATCTCGAGAAGTGCCTTGCGATTCGAATTGAAGAGCGGAAACGCCATACTGAGTGACAGCTCTCCTGATGTAAGTCTTGGTATCGTTGTGATAAAGTTCGTGGCCCATTGTCTCACAATTGCCTTGTGTCCTGACTTTATGTCGTAGGAGTCGAGCTGTTGAAAGAAGATTGAAACCAAGTCCAGGAATGATGAGGACTTTCGTAACGTGTAAGGAAAAACCAATGTCAATAGAATCTAGCATGATGTTGCTGATATAACTTGCCATGATTGTTTGTCCGTTTGAAACTGTAACAGGTACTGGACGTCGAAGAGGACGCTGATGAGTGATGAAGAGCATCTCGGCAGAGCACATGTGTTGACCACAACAACTGTCGAGATACCAAGTGTTGGGTCCTGCAATAACCCGAGCGAGATTAGTCTAAGCCTGAGGTAAGATCATATTCTCAGGTTGTTCGATGGAACTTCCTTCTTCCTCATCGTCGAAATCTGAATATGTTGCATGAATTGTAGTAACACAAGTGAAGACTTGTTTTCCGGATGTGGCAGGAGTTGTTGTTGGTGGATATTGCTTCACATGTTGCTTGAACTGCTGCGACTGCTGCTGCGTGCCTTGTTTCTTATCAGCTTGAAGCTTGTTGCAATATTTGATGCTGTGTCCATCCTTTTTGCAGTAGTAATAAAAGAACTTGTTGATGCATTTTGCAAGCGTTGAATAGAAATTGATATTAACTGCTCCCATTTTGTTGCGTGCTGTTTCCAGATCAAGATCCTACTACTCTGCTTGAAGAATCAAACAAATTCCGGCTTCAGAAAGATTTGGTTGAATGCGAAGAAGAGATCGACATTGTCGTCCAAGACCGGCAAGAAGAACCGTTACAAACATGTCCTTTGGGAAGTATCCGTCGCATTTTTCAAGTTGGTTGCAAAAGTGTGCGAGCCCTAATGATATAATCCGACACATTCTCGTTGCTCTGCATCTGTATAGTTGTCAGTTGTGAGAGAATCTTACTCACTAAAATGGTGTCCTATGCCATATATAGCCCCTTCAAATGCTTCCATGCAGATTCGGCTGGAGTCAGGCTGGTTTGAAGGGAGCATATATCGAGCTGCTCTTTCAGCGAAAGATTGCGAATAAGAACTGCATAAGCACCGAGTGAAGCATGAAGAAAACTTTGCTACACCACTTGTGTTCCCATAACAGGATACGAAAAATTGCCGCTGAAGAAGGGCCATAATCCAGCGGATTTTGCGAGGAGCTTGAACTCAAAACTCCAGGAGTAGAAGTCAGCGCCATTAATAGGTATTTTTGTCTTGATCTGCGTATTGCTTAAAATTTTTGGAGCCTGAAAGACAAGTCCAAAAGAAATTTGCTGCAGCGGAAACTGTTGTTGCTATTGCTGTTGTTGTTGCTGCGGATCCTGCTGTTGTTGCTGAAACTGTTGTTGTGCTTGTTGCTATTGCTGAAGAAATTGGAACTGCTATTTTTGAGTAGGTGTAATCGCAAAGGAAGACTTGGAGCTTGGAGCGGCTGCATCTCTTGCATAACTCGAACCATCAATACTCATACCATTGAAGGCTGCTGTTACTGATGCTGCTGCTTGTTGCTATGATGTTGCAGGTGCAGAGGACAAAGTCCTTGATAGAATACTAGAATGACTAGAAACAAGAGAGATATAGGGTTGGGTTGTACTCTCTAAGAACATATACCAATTCTAACCTATAACTTCTACATGCAGAATGTATGCATAAGTTGACACACCCCCTAGGCTAGATAAGGGGTAGTGCTGAGTAAGAAGAACACAACTCAGGGTGGCACTATTAGTCCAACCTCTGAGACAGGGGTCTGAAGACCAGTCAACAAGAGTACAAACAACACAAGAGCAAACCAGGGCGGCACTACTAGTCCGGCCACTGGAAGAGGAGCCACAAGGCCAGTCTGAAAGATATATATAAAGAGGAGTACACAATCAATGTCCTAGCAACTAAAAGTCTACAGGAACTAGACCAAGCTGCAAGCAGTGCCGCTGATGATCTTTAGGCGCAAGCGCCTTAGAAAAGATATCAGCTCTATTGGCACTGGAGGCCAAGTGTACTACGTGGGCCAGGCGGCGACGCTATAGCTCACGCAGGAGGAAGTACCGCAGCTAGATGTGCTTCGCTCTACCCTCAAGTCGAGGCTCCTAACACCGGAGGATCATGGCCCTGTTGTTAGCGTACAGGACCGGGTCAGAGCTAGGCAGCTCACCTAAGTCGGTGAGCAATACGGTCAGCCAGCGGAGCTCCTGTGCCGCCATGGCACCGGCGTAGATCTCAGCTAGACTGGGAAACAGACGAGGAGCGAGTAGACCTCCACGAGATGGCACCCGAACCAAGGCTAAAGCAGTAGCCCTGGAGGACCAGAGGGTCTCAGCATCGTCTGCCCAAGAAGCGTCTGTGTGCCCAGTAAGGACCACCGGCCTGCGTCCTCCTAGTAGTAGCCCCATGCCTGATGTACTCGCTAGATAACGCAAAACCCTCTTAGCGGCCGACCAGCTCTGTGGTCGGTGTCTGCCTGTGGCCACAAAGCAAGCCAGGATGATGAGAGGGTATGCGAGATCTAGACGAGTGCAAGTCATCAGGTATAGGAGGCAACCCACCAGCTCGGCGTAAGGACCACTTGGCTCTACTGACTCCTCAGAAACAGGAGTCGAGAGCGTGTGGTCTACTAGCAGAGGTGTGGGCTGTGCGGAGGAGAACTGAAGACCGAACCTCTGAAGGACCTGGCGCACCAAGTGTGACTGCGTGAGAGTGATGGTGTGCGCTGCTCTGTCCTTGGAGATCTATAGGACAAGGTAGCTATGAAACTCTCCTAGGTCAGTGCAGGTGTGTCTACTCAGCAGCTCGGCCTTCACGGAGGCCAGTGCGTCTTTGTCTGCAGTAGTGAAGATCAGGTTATCTACGTAGACAAGGATGTAGAACGGAGTCTAGCCAGCACGAACGAAGAGCGAAGGGTCCGCAGGGGACGGAAAGAATTGCAGGTCAGCTAGCGTAGCACGCAGCGTGTCGTGCCTTTCATGTGGCACCTATCGCTTGCCGTAGACCGAGCGTCAAAGGAGCCACTGGGTCTCAGGAGGGAAGGTACCGGCGAAGCCCTACGCTCGGCGTAGGTAGACCAGCTCATGTAGGCTGCCCCGAAGAAAAGCAGTGGAGTAGTCTAGGGAGTGGAGCTCGTAGTCACGCTATGCTGCTACGTGTAGTAGCGTCAAAAAAGTTGTCATCTTCGGGGTCGAGGCGAAGGTCTGAAAGAAGTCCACCCCCTCTCGCTGACTAAAGCCTTTAGCCACGTAGCGCGCCTTGAAGACAGGCGGCTCTCCAGAGGGGCGCTTCACCTTGAAGAGCCATCGGCCGTCGACTACGTTCACCCCAGGTGGGGGAACTGCGTCGATGTAGTTGCCGGTGGATCTCCAAGATGCCATCTCCTGCTCCATGGCAGCTACTGTATCCACTGAGAGGCCCTGGGTCCCGAGGTCGCCTCAGCATAAGTGCGAGGGGTCGGGATGTCAAAGGCGTCTGGGTCACCCTCAGTTACTAGCAGCATAGAGCAGAGATGGGGAGCAGCCTTGGACAAGAAAGCAAGCTCGTACTGCCTTTCCTCTAGAACGTCACTGCCAAGGGCGGGAGCACCCCTGACGGACGGAGGACAGACAAGGTCAGAGACCAGAGTGGTGGCGTAGTCAAGGCGGTGGGTAGAGGCAAAGTCAGCGACAACAGCGACAAGAGCGTTAAGACTCGAGAGAGGAACAGACGGAAGCGAAGGCAGGAGGGGAGGACGAGACGCGTGGGAACGAAGCAACATAGGGTGAGAACGCTGAATAGGGGAGACAGGACGAGCACGAGCACGTGAGACGGAGGCGTTGGGTCAGGAGACAGAGGAGGAGTAACAGGAGGGGAACGAGGTGGAAACAAGCCGGGGACGAGTCCGGCGGAGGAAACACAGGACCGTAGACAGGAAGGGGAGGAGGTGGCGGGGGAGGCGCAGGCAAGCGGTTAGGGGAGGGATGGCCGAGCAGGCGAAGGGCGGACACCGGCGGCGACTGCTGTTGCTGCTGCTGCTGCTGCTGCTTGACGCCGACACGTGGACCGCCAGCTACACCGCGGCTACCTCAAGAACTCTCCACTCCAGCTCCCCCAAAACGTGTTAGAATTAAGGACAGAGTCTAGGTGAACTTAGGAGCTAGAATTACTCAAAATATAAATCCGAAATTCTGGACAGAAAAGTCGTCTTCACAAGAAACGACGTCGACAAAACACTAGCCGTTGGAATGTCGCGAAACTTGGATATGTTGTAGCTCTTGATCTCAGCTACCGTTCCCAATTTGAATCACGTTGATTGATGAAGTATTCGCGACGCTATGGCTTTCGACGCACTAGGGGGTAAGCTGTAGGAGGAGAACTTAACTCAATCTCAAGAGTTCAATCAAAGTTCAAGAATCTCACAAGGAATTAGAAGGAGCAAGAGAAAGGTTGGGATAGGAAGAGAAGGATGAGAGGGAAGGTCCCAAGAGAGTCCCCAACCAAGGAAACCCCATAAGCACAAAGATTCCCTCCCTATAGGAACCTCAACTTTGACCTTTGTCCCTTCCCAACCAATCCATCCAAGTTGGCCACCCTTGCCAACCTAGCTTGGTTGTTCCCAACCAATTTGCAGCTGTTACAGTAGAGTGACAAGTTTCCCCAACCCCAAAGGTCCCAACTCCATATAAAGTCACCCCACAACTTCACTTTGTAACCGCCGCAATTGTAACGCAAGCTCATGAACTTTGAATCTTCATAGCTTTCGCGTTCTTGCTCCGATTGAAGCGATTCTTGTTGCGTCGGAAAGATCTTCTCAAGATCTATCATCACAAATACCTGCTCAGACAGAATAACACAAAACACATTCCCAAACTCCAGAACACACCACACACAAATTCTTTCACACACAGTCAAACCATACATACGAATTGAAACAAGAGATGAGAGGCAGACAGAATGTGATAGCATATGATGACATCACACAACAATCTCCCCCTCTGGCTGCCAACCATCATCGACCATACCACATCTCAAGCATGCATACTCAATGCACACTCATCCCAGCAAGCTTCATGCCCTTCCAATGATCCGCCTCCGCCAGACGCTTAGTGAAAATATCTGCTGCCTGCTGATGGGTCTTCACTATCTCCAGCCGCACCTCCTTATCAAGGATTCTCCTCACCCAATGCCACTTAGGCCTTATGTGTTTTGTCAGCCCATGCAGACAAGCATTCTTGGCCAGCTTCACTGCAGACTCATTGTCACAGAACACAACTGTCGGCTCCTCCTGACCAACTCCCAACTCCTCCAACAAACGCCTCAGCCATACCACTTCCTTGGCCCCATGGTGTAAGGCCATGTACTCAGTCTCACATGAAGACAATCCCACCTCATTCTGCTTCTTGCTGCGCCAGCTCACAGCACCACCTCCCAGCAAGCACACATAACCCCCAATGCTGGTGCCATCCGCTTTCACTGAGTTGAAGCTAGCGTCAGTATAGCAACTCAAGAGCATCTCACCACTCTTCACATCTGCAGCACCTCTCTGCAACCGCTGCCTCACTCCACTGTACTCCAATCCCACTGATGCCGTAGCACTCACATAGCGGACCAACCTCTTGGCCGCTTCCAGCTGCTCATGACTAGGACGTGAAACCACGCTAGCCAGTCGTGATGTAGCAAATGCAATGTCAGGCCGTGTATGATTTGCAGCATAATTCAGCGACCCAACCATCGAATGAAACAGCTTCCTGTCACTATCACCCACTACCTCCTCATCAGCACATGGCTCCACAGTAAACCCTGAAGGTAGTGGTGTTGCTGGCTTTCCCCCATCTTGCAGCCCATACTTCTCAGCCAGCCCCTCACAGTACTTCCTCTGGTGCAACCTCAGCACACCCTTTTCCACATCTCTCTCCACATGCATCCCGAAGTAGTACTTCGCCTCACCCATCTTGGAGCACTTGAACTGCATCTCCAGCATCTGCTCTGCGCTGTCCAGCAAAGCAGTGGATGCAGAAAAGAGAAGGATATCATCCACATACACCAAGAGCATGAGGATTTCATCCTTCTCCTGCAGCAGGAACAGGCTGGGGTCACACTCACTCTTCTTGAAACCCCCAGCCAACAGCGCCTCCTCCAACTTGTGATACCATGCACGAGGCGCCTGCTTAAGGCCATAGATGGCCTTCTTCAGCCTGCAGACCCTGCCGCTCCCATCATCCAGCCCCTCTGGCTGCTTCATGTACACCTCCTCCAGAATGATCCCATTCAGAAAGGCAGTCACAATGTCCATCTGCCGTATCTTCCATCCCAGGAGTGCAGCTATCGCCAACAGCACCCTCAGTGTTGTTCCTTTCCCCACAGGAGCAAACACCTCATCATAGTCCTTCCCCTTTGTCTGCTGAAACCCCCGTGCCACAAGCCTAGACTTGTAGCGGGTCAGCTCCCCTTCAGGTCCATACTTGTGCCTGTAGATCATCTTGGAAGTGATTGCCTTCTTCCCAGGAGGCAAGTCACACAGGTCCCATGTCTCGTTTTCAATCAGGGACCCGAACTCCTCATCCTCACTCGCCTTCCACTTCTCCCCATTTGGTCCATTCAAGGCCTCCTCTCGAGTCTTGGGCTCAGGGATTGGTGCCCAGTAGCAGTGAGCGATCTCATCTTCCTCAATCTGCTCAACCACACTCCCAGCCTGCACCACATTTGGCTTGCCTCTTCCCCCATAGGTCAGCCTCACCGGAGGGCGCACATCCCTCCTAGGTCGCTCAGGCGGGTGTGGAACTCGAGATGGAGACTCATGCTGCTGCTGCTGCTGCTGCTCTACTTCAGCTGCTCCCCCTTCCTCAGTCACCCCAGACATCTCCTCCTCTGACACTGCAACCTCCACCTGTCTTGAAGGCTGCTGCACCTCATCTGCCTCCACAATGAGCGGTGTAGATGGAAGCTTCTGTTGCTGCTGCTTCCATTCCTTGTAGTACAGGGACTCAAGAAACTTCACATCCCTTGACACTGTCAACTTCTGGGTGGTCAAGTCCCATAGCAGCCACCCCTTGTGATCCTTTGCAATCCCCAAGTGCACACCCCATCTTCCAGAAGCCTCCAACTTCCCCCTTTTCTCCTTAGGCACATGAAACACCACCATGCACCCAAATGCCCTCAGCATGTTCACAGCTGGAGCACTCCCATACCACTTGACATATGGGATCCACTCCTTATCTCCAACTGTAGCCAGCACCCTGTTCTTCACAAGGGCGACCTGCCTCAGTGCAGACACCCAAAATGGATCAGGCAGCCCTGCACGCCCAAGGAGAGTGCGTGCCCCCTCCTGCAGGGTCCTGTTGAACCTCTCAGCCACGCCATTCTGCTGCGGGTTGTAGGGCACTGTCAGTTGATGCTGGATCCCCTTCCTCTTCAACTCCCCCTCAAAATCAGCTCCAATGAACTCCCCACCATTGTCACTACGGATCACCTTCACCTTGTGTCCGCATTCCCTCTGAGCTCTCGGCATCCACTCCTTAAGGACAGCCGCTGCCACCTCCCCCTTGCTCTTCAAAGGGTAAACCCACACTGCCCGAGTGTGGTCATCCACAATTGTCAAGAAATAGCGGCTACCTGAGAGGGAAGGGGCTCTTGTGGGCCCCACCACATCCATGTGCACAAGTGCAAGTGGGGTCTTGGCTGGTCCTGTAGTGCTGTTGAAGGGGAACTTGGAGAACTTGGTCTCCAAGCATGTAGGGCAGCTCCCAATCTCCTTCACTCCCCCTTTCACCTCCAAGCCCTTCAGGCTCCCATCCTTCACCAACTTCTGCAGCATAGGGAAGTTCACATGACACAACCTCTCATGCCATGTCTCCCAATCGGCCTCTCCACTCCTTGATGAAGCCTTAGCCCATGCCGCACTCGCATCCACACCAGCAAGCACCTCACCATGTGTCTGCTGCTGCTGCACTTTCTTGACTGCTTCTAGGACCCCATCAATTGGTGCAGTTGCATCTCCTCCTGCTGTTGCCTTTGCCGCTGCTGCCGTTGCTGCTGTTGGAGTCTTCCCATTCCATGGGATGATGGGCAGCTGCCACAGGTCCTTGATGCAGCTGGTCTCCTCTTCCAGACTCCACAGCACCTTCTTCCCAAGCTTAGCACGGCAGCTGGTTGGTCCAAAGGTCACTTCGGCCTTACTCTTCTGCAGTCGTCGCACAGAGAGAAGGTTAGCAGACAAGCCTTCAACCAGCAGAACATTCCCAAGCCCCACAAGCTCCCCATTAGCTCCCTTAACCTTGGCATTCCCAACGCCAATCACAGGGAGCAAAGCACCTGACGCTGCTGCCACATACTTGATCTTCCCAGGGGGTTTTACCTCATCAAGCAAATCTGCCCGTGGAGTCATGTGACTGGTGCAACCCGAATCAATCACCCAGTGCGTGAGAGGGTGCATCACAACCTTTCCCACAGATCCCACATCACCCTCATGCCCATGCACATCCTCAACCATGAGAAACATCCCAGGATAGGCATTACCTTGTGCACCTTCACCTTGTGCACCTGAGCCTTGCACAGCACCACCTTGTGCGCGTTCACCACTGGGCGGCTTCATGCCTGGAGGTGCCCATCCCTCCGGCCTGCTGAAGCACTTGAACCAAGGATGCCCGACCTTCTTGCAGTACCAGCAGGTGCCCTCCATTCTGGTACTCCCCCTGCCACTGGAGCTCCCATGCCCCTCATTATAGTCACCTCGGCCTCTACCTCTGCCAAAGCTTCTCCCACGGCCTCGGCCTCTCCAACCCCCTCTTCCTCTGCCGCGCCCTGCAGCTCCATACCCCTCAGCAGTCTTAGTGGCAGCACCGCCTCCCACATGGCGTCTGCGGAAGTCCTCCTGCAGAATCTGGTGCCTTAGCCACTCAGGTGTCCATTGATCTTGCTGAGAGTTGAGGGTGGGGATGAGGTTGTCCCAAGAGTTGTCCAACACCGAGATGATCTTGGTGCACTGCTGCAGCTGAGATACACTGCTGCCCGCTGCTGCCATCGTTGCATAGGTGTCCTTGATCTTGTCAAGGACCGGCTTCACATCATCCCCTGGTCGCATGGAGATGGCAGCAAGTTCCTTCTCGAGCACGATCACCATTGGGAGAGTGTTGGGCTGAATCACATCACGTAGTAGTTTCCACGCCCTTGGACCCGAATCATCCGCTTCCACAAGATCCTTGATGTGCTCGAACATCTCCTTGTTGACCGATTGAAGGATGAGGTCGAAAAGCACCGCGCTTTTCTCAATCCACCGTTCACGTGCTTCGCCTTCTTCCGGCATCTTCTCCTCCCCAACAGCAATCTTCAGTAGCTTGTAGCGTTTGAAGGCACTCCTCATCCGTCCGCTCCATTCCTCATAGTTGGAGCCATCCAAAGCTTCAACTTTTGATGGCGGCGGCTCACTTGCCTTCTCAGGTACAGCTCCTCTTCCATTAGCATCTCCTCCTCTCTCATTCATCTTCTCCTTGAGAAATGACGAATTTCAGCTCCCCTTTGCTGTCCACACTCAGCTCCCTCGATATTTTCACAAGTATCGCCGTCCACGAAATTTCGGCAGAGTTTCCCCTTAGCGGAAGACACATCCAACCTTTAGAACACCACTTAGGCACACCCACAGGCCATGGTGGGTCTAGAAGGGTCTTCACACTTCTGTAGACTCCTCTCAATGTCCTTAATATCGCTCTGATACCACTTGTTAGAATTAAGGACAGAGTCTAGGTGAACTTAGGAGCTAGAATTACTCAAAATATAAATCCGAAATTCTGGACAGAAAAGTCGTCTTCACAAGAAACGACGTCGACAAAACACTAGCCGTTGGAATGTCGCGAAACTTGGATATGTTGTAGCTCTTAATCTCAGCTACCGTTCCCAATTTGAATCACGTTGATTGATGAAGTATTCGCGACGCTATGGCTTTCGACGCACTAGGGGGTAAGCTGTAGGAGGAGAACTTAACTCAATCTCAAGAGTTCAATCAAAGTTCAAGAATCTCACAAGGAATTAGAAGGAGCAAGAGAAAGGTTGGGATAGGAAGAGAAGGATGAGAGGGAAGGTCCCAAGAGAGTCCCCAACCAAGGAAACCCCATAAGCACAAAGATTCCCTCCCTATAGGAACCTCAACTTTGACCTTTGTCCCTTCCCAACCAATCCATCCAAGTTGGCCACCCTTGCCAACCTAGCTTGGTTGTTCCCAACCAATTTGCAGCTGTTACAGTAGAGTGACAAGTTTCCCCAACCCCAAAGGTCCCAACTCCATATAAAGTCACCCCACAACTTCACTTTGTAACCGCCGCAATTGTAACGCAAGCTCATGAACTTTGAATCTTCATAGCTTTCGCGTTCTTGCTCCGATTGAAGCGATTCTTGTTGCGTCGGAAAGATCTTCTCAAGATCTATCATCACAAATACCTGCTCAGACAGAATAACACAAAACACATTCCCAAACTCCAGAACACACCACACACAAATTCTTTCACACACAGTCAAACCATACATACGAATTGAAACAAGAGATGAGAGGCAGACAGAATGTGATAGCATATGATGACATCACACAACAAAACGAGCACCCCCAAAGCAAGAACCCTCTCCAGCACCACGCCCACCGGGACAAGCCACGACACGAACCCCAGGACTAGCACCCTCCTCAACGCCAGCACCCCCAGAGGCCACGAACAGCTGCTGCTATTGTGACGGCGGTGGCGGCTGCAGCAGCGGCGGCGGCTGCTGCGGCGGCGGCGGCGGCGGCTATGGCTCTGGCGACTATGACGGCAGAAGAGGAGACACCTTGGGAGAGACAGGCAGCAAGAAGTGGTGAGACGGCAGGTGGTAAAAGTGCCAGTCAGAGGAGTCCAAGGGGAAACCGAGGAAGACACAGGGGACAGTGTAGGCAGTGAGTTTGTCCGTGCCAGAGGCACGAACGTGAGCGAGGCAGCCCCAGACGTGGAACGCAGATGCGTCACTAGGGAAACCGGTCCAAAGTAGGGTCGGCGAAACCTGCGGCCGCTGAGAGCGCGGCCAGAGGTTAAGCTGGTGAGCGGCGTAGCGAACGGTGAACGGCCACAGAAAATGGGGTGCACCGGCATGAATCATGGAGGTACGAGCCACCTTCATGACCAAACGGATGCATCGCTCAGTGACTGCATTCAGTTGCGGGGATTCCAGTAGGGTTTACGACTGGGCGATGCCCTCTGCTCGACAGAACTGTCCAAGCCAACCAGAGGCGAACTTGCCGCCACGGTCGGAGTGGAGACACAGCACAGGGAGACCGCGGTGGAAGCGCGCAGCTACGACCCATGGAGTAAAAATGCCAGGTACGTCGGCCTTCCACTCCAGAGGAAACACCGTGGTGTAGCGCATGAAATCGTCGACGAGCACGAGAAAGTAGCGCTTGCGACGCGGTCCAAGGACGGGGGCTGGGCCCTAGACGTCTAGGTGCAGGGTCTGGAGGGGTGCGATGGCAGGATGAAGCGAGGAGTGAGGAGCACGGCGGAGCCGGCCCTCAGCGCAGGGCGTGCACGGCGGTGCAGGCGAGGGAGGGAGGGCAGGAAGCAACTCAAGGAGACTTAGGAAGAGACCGTGCTGGGACATGTGATGCAGACGCGGGAGCATGGGTTGATCTAGCCGGTGCTGCCACAGAAGCGATGGGTGAGTGAGCGATTAACATGCGCACGCAGCGGCGACCTGAGTAGGCGCAGGATTCAAGGAGGACGCGCCCATTGGGGGGGAAGCAGTGCCCAGTGTAAAGAGGCCAGACACCGGGTCCAGGGGGAACGTCACAAGGGGGGAACCTGAGGCGGCCTCGATACAGACGGCGTACCGTTCGTGACTCGGAAACGTAGTTGTGACGCCGAGGTCCTGAAGACAGCCGACACTGACTAAGTTCTGGGAGAACGAGGGGATGTGCAGGCCTATAAGGGAACCCGAGGGGACCGTTGGACAGGCAAGGTTAGTGTAGCTGCGAGCAACTAGAGGACTAGAGGAGGGGTCAGCAAGTGCGACAGCAGCAGGCGCGGCAAGCGGCGTAAGCGCAGCGCGGTCGCGGAAGAAGCAGGTAGACGCACCAGAGTCAAGTGTAAAGGACAGCAAAGTAGTAGCGGCAGACAAAGGAGGAGCTAGTGTGGAGCCTAGAGTAGACAAAGCAAATGGTCCTACTCCTGATGCAGCAGAGGTCTCTATACTACACACAGGTGCTACGCCTAAGCTAGAAAACACAGGGTAATAAGTTCCAGACACAATAGAAGCGTCAGCATACAAAGAATGCAGCGCAGAACTAATCTGATCCATGTTTCGGTCAAACATAGGCACACCATGACGGAGGAGACTGCGCCAGTCGGGGAGGTCCAGGGCAGGGCCGAAGCGGCGACGGAAGAGGTCGTCAAGACGGCGGAAGCTGTTGGTGCAACCCTATGGCTTGCACTCGGCTTGTCGTCCTTGTTTGTGTGTGTGCATGCATGGCACGGAATGACTTGTGAGTCTATGTCATTGCTATCTAGTGCTTGTGTGTGTGTTTGAATGGTGTATCACAATGTGGTTTGTATTGGTCAAGACATTAGCGAGTTTTCACAACTCGCATCTCAAGTCGTCGTTTGCGTGTCGCATGTGTTTTTCTATTTTGTCGAGTGTGAAGTGTCCATCACGTCGCAGGTGTGTGCAGCAAGCCCCCATCAACTCAAGAAGAATTTATCTTGCAGAATCAAGACCAAGAGCTCAAATTTTCAACCCCAAGGGAAGTGGATAACTATTAAAATAGTGAAAATAGTATTGCTACTTCATGTAGTGTTCCATTTCACTTGGTCCAGCCCCTTGTTGAGTTTGTTTCGAGTCCGTTCGTGGTTGGGGACTCTGTGGTAATGTACCACCAGCCTGGACCTCGGCTCTTGGGGCTTGTAGAGGCTGAGAACCATCTCAATCTCGATTGTTCTTGCTAAGTTTGTAATTCTAAGACAAAAGTGGCTGCAATACCCCCTCCCAGTCAAACCGCCATAACGTCGTCAAACCTTTATGGAATTTCCTGATTCAACTTGCTGCTGATAGGTGACAGCACCGCGCTTTAGATCCAAGTTACATATCACCGTTTGAGGCACAAATCAGATCGGTATAAATATTTGAAGCTGTCTGAGGGAATTCTGACTGTGCTCTCTATCTCTCATTTTAGGCACATCTGAGCCTATTGTGAGTATAACAGAAGCAGCAAGCGGTCGGGTGCGGGCGGTGGCACACAGTGCCATAGAGGGGCCCGGTCTGGAGCTGGCAGTGGCAGCCCACAGCACCAAAGCTGCAGGTAGTCGCTGAGCTGCAAGGGACCACCACCGCGGCCGCCACCTCCAGGGGCTCCTGGCTACCCCGGCGGGAGGCGGGCCCTCGGCTGCTGCTGCTGCTGCTGCGGTTGCGGCTGATGCTGCTGCTACGGCTGCGACTGCTGCTGCTGCATCTGTTGCGGCTGCTGCTGCTCCTGGACACCTGCCCCAGGACCCTCGTCAGAGCCACTGTCACCGCCACCACCACCACCACCAACACCACCACCACGCCCTCCCTTGGGGCCGCGACGGCCCCGACGCTATCGCTGCTGCTGCGGGAAGGCCGCAGCTGCGGTTTCAGTGGCAGGAGCAACCGTAGCAACCGCGGCGGACACGTCAGCGTACGTGCACTGGGAGGGAGCACAGCCCTGAAAGATAGGGACTGCCGCAACACCGCTCGACTGAGCGATAGTGTGATGGCGCGTCTCTATCTAAGAAAGGGCAGTGAGAAAAACGGTCAGGGTGAGGTCGCCATGGTGCTTGCTAAGGAGGTGGTCGCGGACAGTGGCTAAACTTCAGGTAGGCGCATGCCAATAAGGTACACAATAGCGCAGAATGGCGGGGGGAAGGCAGCGAGCTGGGCAGTAGTGCTGGCAGCGCTGTAGCTAGTCTCTAGTGCACAGAGGTGAGTGGCGAGGTCAGCGACAGTAGGGAAAGCAGAGAGATCGGGGAAGAGCATGGGGAGGATCAAGCGTCCAGCGGAGGTGGAGGCAGGCATGGAGTAGCGTGCAACTACTGCATCTAGGAAGTCTTTGGCGTTTGCTACAGCAATGAAGCGGGGACGCTCAGATAGGGAAAGCGCATGACTAATGGCAAGCTGCACTATAGCATCGCGAGAATCTTAGACAGCGTGCGCTAGCGCAGCAGCAGCAAAGGCCTCACTCTCAGTAGTGGTGGGGTCAGCAGGGAGGGGATCAGGTGCGGGAGGGCAGGGACGCAAGCCATCAACATGCATAGCCAGGGAGTGCCAAGATGTCCAAAACCAGACCCACAGCTGTCAATTTGGTACACGCTGGCAGAGCTATGAATCTATCAACATACTGTACTCGACGGAAAGAAGGCATTTCGAATTTGCAGCTGGAACACACTTCAAACTGAATCCCTTCAAGTACGAGATATGTCCCCCAGGTAATTTATTTTCCGGTTTCCTTACAAGACTCACCCCCATTTTTCCCTAGTGTACGAAAAAAGACCCTACGGTCATTTTACCCTAGTTTACGGTAGATGATCGCACTTTAGTGCTGCCGAGGTGTGCGAAAAAGTTTGCACGCAGGGTTACGCATGTTCGGTAGCAATAAAACGGGCAACCGTAAGTGAGACAAATATTTTCAAAAGCCATGATTCGCACAACAGATTTAGCTTTGCCACCGACGGACTTCGAAAAGTTACCGAAATGGGTGCTTATTGATACACCTAGCACGCGGTAATTTCACACCCGTAAGTTGGGCAGCAGCAGAATTTTTGTTTCCACCCTGACCATTTCTGAGTGCGTAGTTAGTACTCCCCTTTCCCTACGCCCTAAGTGCGGCAAACTCCACGCGAGCAAAAACTTTGAGCTGCCTAAATTGACGTCGGGTTTCCTGACTCGAGAAACACTAAATCGAATAGTAAACGTTTCGTACAGAAACCCAAGCAAAATTTGTTTTTCAAGGGTATTCGGATCTGTCTTCAGGAGCTGCTTTCGGGGGGTGAATACCCTTTCGACGGCACCCCCTTGGAAAATACTGGGTGTAAAATTACCGCGGGCTAGGTGTATGACACAGCTGATTTTGAAAGTCCTTGTGACATTTCCATACGACCTACCCCCTAG